AGAGTCTAACGATCGACATTAAAACCTTAGTTATTTAACATAATTGTGAATGTTTTGTGCTAAAAAATAACTAAAATTAACGATATTTATTTGTATTTTAAAATTTATTTAATCATTTGTTGGATATGAGGATCGTCTGGTGAATTATAGCTGAATTTGTGATAAAGTTACGCATCTCTTTTGTATCAAAAATAGCTAATAATTGTTAGTGAAAATTTTCAGATGTCGTCAAATATTTTTCCTGAGGATGGAATGGAATTTTAGGCGATGAAGAAGAGAGGGGTTCAGAAATTTCAAATATTATAAACGGTAAATAAATTATTTGTAAATGTCGCCTTCTGTTTAATCTTAGGGAAAGAAATGATATCCCATAAATTAATGTATTAATCTTACTCTTCAATTAAGTTATGGGGATTTTTTTTAAATATCCATCATTAAAGAAAAAATATCACAGAAAGTTTCGTTAAAAATGCGAATTAATGGACGACCTTTTACTTAGAAGTCTTTTAAAGTTGATTACAATATGTTTTAAGGCATGAATTATTGGAGGATTTTAAAAAGGTGGATTAAAGAAATACATTGGTGAAAATAAAACTGGGAAATATAAAGACGACTTTTGGACTCAATTTTTGATTAAATAGTTCAATGAACATAAAATACTGCAATTGAGCAGTGAACATGGAGATTGTCTAAATTTCGTCTTCAAATTTCAGAGTATTATGTATACAAGGTCAATGAACAATTCTGATAAATTCAGGTTTGTCGGTGCCACTGCCAAGCAAAGTATTTATGATACCCAACTGCCAAGCCAACCAAGAATAGGAGAGTCTGCGTTTACAATGCCAGCAGATCCAAAAAGAAAAAAGTTTGGACGAAGGCTCTTTAATTGGATCATAGGAATTCCTTACAGAGAAATATCCCGATTTTGTAAAAACTATTACATTGTTAAATAAATATTATGAAGTTATATTTTTCAATAATTCATTTAAATCAGGTAGAGAGAGAATTCAATCTTGAATGAAAAAGTAATGAAATAATTGATTACTGTTGAAAAGTACAAGGTTACATGCATACACGATACTTGACATTAATTTTCTTCTTATAAACACTTAATATACTTAATTCAAACCAAAAGTAAATGTTCTAAAGGACTGATAGATGTAATTTCAAGTTACCAACCCATTAAAGGTCTTATTAACAACTGTACCATTTAAACATTTATCTGGGTAACAATGAGGAAGATATCGTCGTTATTTTAACTTAATAAGTGATGAATTCTGTAAATTATGTTCATTGTCTTTCCACAAGTCACTTTTATGAACTATGGACAAATTAAATATTTTAAGATAGAAAAACCAAAGTTGTTTCCTCGTTTTGTTTTTAAATAACTATGCAATTCCTTACAATTAACAAAAGACGACATTATGAAACGTCAGCATTTCTGGAAAAGACGACATTTGTTACGATCTTTCGGTACCCCAGAAAATGCGTCAAATTTTCGTAGATTTTCTGATGCGCTATCTTTAATTAGCAAAGTCTTTGGTTTTATGTGTTTTGACATTATTCATTTGAAAAAATTTCTTATTGTGAAGGGTTACACAAGTTTCTTGTTCTTTTCTTTGTTTATTCAGGTTGGGATTCATTTTAAAACGATCTGAAGTTCAATAATATTCTTGTTAACCCTAAACAATGAGTTTACCACGTTGCAAAGTCATCTTTGACCAAGATTTCTCTGGCAGCCAAACCAAACCTTTTCACCCCCCATTGTGAAACCAGCCTTTTTCATAATTTGGTTCATATTAATTTGAGATTTTCTATAAAATGATATACCAGGACCTAAAAGGTTATTTAGCATGAAGTACACCTGCTGTATGGAAACAGTTCAACAATTAATGGCCGGTTCCACTTTTTTCTGGTAAATTTCCCTCTTATATATATATTTGTGAGCTGAACAAAAGGAATAGTACTCGAAAGAGGGAAATAAGGCGAGTTGGCAAGGAAAACACTCTTTTCTACCAGACACACATAGATGAGAACAACTTCTTGAAAAGTATATTTCAGTAACGAGGTTTCCTACAAAATACAAATTGTTATTGGCGTACATGCATATAAATAATAATTGTTAATAAAGATTAAACAGTTGAAGGTTTTTATCAATAAATGAGTATTGGAATTCTAGGTTTTCTAGGTTTAGCAGGATTGGAGATTTTAGGATTAGTAGGTTTAGCAGGATTTGGGGATCATATTTTTTTGCTGTTGTAAATCGATAAATAAAGGGTTTAAAGGCACTGTTGTGAACTGATTAATAAAAGGTTTAAAAGGTACTGTTGTGAATGGAACTTACAATCTAGAAAACTGTGTTAGGCCGAAAAGTTGTTTGAACTGAAGTCTAAAGCAATTTAATTCTTCTGAAAATAAATATTCGTCTGGTTAAATAAGTTCACTATTTGATTGCAAATGATTCACTGAAATTATGTTTAAATGGGTTCTTTTAATGCACTTAGAGTTTTATTAGCTCCATGAGGTTATTGTTTTGTTTATGCAAAATCCTTGGCAAGGTTTGGTTTGGTGAGTGGACGGAGTATTCAACGGAGGTACAGTTTGTCGGAGACGACTTTTACAGCAGGGTTACATTAGGAGTATGGTTCACAATATTCTATTCTCTTTGAGATATATCCTTCATTCCCATTGAGAATATCAGGTGCAGGGATAGCATGGTCAGGAGAGTCAGGGAGTCATACTACATCCAGAAATTCATCTCAGTGAGATCAGGATTGAATAAGAAAACAAAATACTAATTGCAATCTTTTCAGAAAAAAATATAGGATGCATGTTTTAAGCTGTATGTTTGTGTATTACCAACAGTACCTTATAGTGTTGATCAAATTAATGTATTTGACTGATTTGCCGATCCGGCTTGTGAACAGCTGACTTTAATTCAACCGGATATTAGTTCAATCGATATAGCATTGTATCTGTAATTCTCATCAAACGTAACTTTTATACAGTAGAAATATCCTAAAAGAGAATTATAAGAAGAAAATCAAAAGTGTGTACATGAGGATTAAGGATATCTCATTATAAAGTTTTCAGTTCGGAATAGACAGAAAGGTGCCTAGTGCCCTGATTTTCTAATTTTCTATATAATAAAGCTCTTCGCTAATATATATATATATTTATATGTTAGCTATAGCTCTAGAATTTTTTTTTTCAAAAATCAATTTTTTGTCAAGTGTTTTTAAAATTTTAAGGGCAATGCCGGGCACTTAAGTTAGTTTGAAATAAAAACATATCATGTTAATTAACATCGATAATGTGACAGTTGGAATTCATGTAATGATGAAACTGATAAAAATGTCAATTTGAATTAAAAATCTCCTGAGTATTAGGGAAATTTATGCACACATCAGCCAAATTATAATTTAATATTCGAACTTATTCAAATATCAGAATTTTCTCATCAACTTGAGGAAAGTTATATTTGTCTTCTAGAAAGAGGGAAAGAAAGAAGACAGATGATCAAATTCAGGTTTGGACATATTAAAACTAATGTCTGGAAAAAAAATGATTTATATTTGGTTCATCAATCATAAACTGTTAAAAAGAACAAAATCTTTGATTATGATTCAAGTTCTACAAAATTGTAAAACCATTCAACTTTTTAGGGGGGGGGGGGGAATGGGAATTATTTTTCGGGGGAATGATAAAAAGAATAAAAAACCTTGCCTTATGATGTCCAATTTTCATCAAAAATTCTTTAACTATAGTTTAGAAAAATCAGTTGGGGTTTTATTTGCTGAATTTTGAACATAAATAATTTTTGAAAAATATATTTTTGGTTAGGAAGTATTACATAAAAACTTGCCAGTTGATGAAAAATTTTATTATTCCCTCCCTGACAAAAAATGTAAACATCCTCACATGCAGAACTTTTGTTTCAAATTTAGTTAAAAACCCTTAAAACTAGTGACTTACATATCTTTGTAACCAATTGTCATTTCATTTCAGAAGTTTAAATGTTGTTTTATTCTTGATGACCAGACGCCTCAATTTACCCCACCATCCTCAAATAGTAAGGATATTTTATAGTATAAAAAAACATGTTAACATTTATGTATCAATCAATGCATTGTTGTTAGCCATACTTATTTACAGGATTGAAATATACCTACTACCTACTACCTGTATTATCTTCTATGGATTTGTGGGGAATTTGAGAAGACCTCTGGAACTATTGCCAATTTCTGCCAGCTATTGCCAACCATTGCCTACTATTGCCAACCATTGCCTACTATTCCCAGCAAGAAAAAATTCAAAGAACGGAGGAGAAAAGCTGCACCGTTAATCATGTTGCGGAGTTCGAAAAGGGAACTCCGATTCTCAAAGAATGGAGGTTCGGCTGTATCCTGTAAGGATGCGATTGAGGTGCACCAAACAGTGCACCTAATGGAGTGATTTGCGGTGCACCGTTTCTACTCCTCTTTTGGAGCTCTGTTACTACTCCTCTCTTGGAGCTCCGTTACTACTCCTCTTTTGGAGCTCCATTATTACTCCGCTCTTGGAGCTCCGTTACTACTTATCTTATGGACCTTTATTACAGCACCCCACCTCCCACTTGGAGCGACCCTACCCTGCCCCATGATCTAGCTATAAAATGTAACAAAGTTAAACATTTATCCCAGCAAATAAGCGGTAACTTATAACTAATAAGTTTAAGACTAATATTGTGAATTTGATTAAAAAATGTAGAAATACTTTAGTTTAAAAAACAGGGTAAATATAAGTTTATAACATTTAAATACACATATGCTAGAGACATCTATATTTAAGGTAGTTAAACTGTTACCCTAAACTGACCCCATAATTCAATTAGATGAAGGGAAATATTGTATAGTTCCTGTACTGGCCCGCCTTAACACTCCTAAATGTAAAGTTCACAAATTTCTCAATACATACAAATATTTGTTCATCTTTAGATAAGAAAACTCTTTTCAAACATTATTCATCCTAACACTTATTTTATATACATGATACAAAAGTAATACATTTCATAATCCCGAACTTTACGAAAACCTGCCTACCTGTACCCACCCGACCCTTTCTTTTTATTTCGCCTTTCTATCTATCAATGACTAACAATCTATCAATGTTGCATTTAAACAAATCTTAAACATGATCTTAACAATAATCATTAAATATCAACTAGAGAAAGGCCAATTCATACATGGGTAGAGTTATTTAAATAACAGATATATATCATAGAATTTAATCAGGGATATTTTCACACATGTGGATTAATGATTATTGTTGATTAATGATTAATGATTGATGATTAAAACTAATTAGCTAAATCATGTTAAGTTCTTTAAAAGTATTATATATTCAAAAGCTTCCCATGACTTAAAAAATTTCGCGATTGTTACAGGTCAGGCAGATCTCTTCATGTAGAAACTTTCTGAACAAATTGTGCAGCATGCTTGCACCTTGAAGAATTGATTTATATTTGACAAATGAGCGTTTTTAATCATCATTTTTAAATAACTCATGTATGAAAATACATGTTGTCTTATCACTGGACTTTTTGAAACTGGCAGTCATAACCCCGCTGGTCCTGTCCCACAACCATGTTACATGATTAGCTCTCCTTGAAAGGAATTCCGATGGAGCTCCTCTTTTGGAGAACTCTCCTCAAACAGAGGGAATGAGGAGGACACTCCGTTTTTGGTGGAAGGAAGGAGTACTCCCTTTGAGAAGTAACTTTGGAGCTCTCCTCCAAACGAATTCCTCCAGGCATTCCGTTTCTGGTTGACTCCAAAAAGGGAAGGAAATACAGAGGATTCTCCATTTTCTGAGGATAAAAGGAATCCTCCGCTTGAGGAGGACAAGAGGAAAGGGGAGTAGATTTTCTTGCTGGGTTGCCAACTATTGCCAACTATTGCCTACTATTGCCAACATTCTATTGCCAACTTGAGACCTCAATAGATTGGGACCATAGTTTGGGAAATTTATACCCCCTTGTTTGCCTGGGAAATTGATCCCAGTAGTTCTCACCGCCCATTTCAAGATCACCCCTTTTTCAACTCAACAATTCTGCATAATAAACGGTGAAGAGAAACAACTATACTTTGTTTGTAAACAACAATTTCTCATTTAACTAACATTATGCAGTTAAAACATTAACAAACAAATTCTCAACTCTAGCAGAAAAAGTAACAACAGATTTATACAGTTTTCCTTGTCGGCAACATGCACCACACAAAGACTATACATATATATAAATTCTTCATACTTTTTTTGTTGTCTGTTTGTTTGTAATTAGGGGTTGGGTTGAGGAGGGGGGGTTGAAAAATAGTTGGGATTTTTATTTTTTTAAATGCGCCTGCAGTTCAAAAAGAAAAATCCGCCAAAATTTGGAAATAATTTAAAATGGCCGACTTTCAGAGTATTTAAAAGCTAAAATTATTACAGAACTGGGTTCTGTAATAAAAATTTTCATTGACAAAGTCAAAATCAAAATCGTCCCTCATTTCCGTGTTTATTGGAAAACCTTGTAGCTTAGGAACCCAGATTTGCCTGAAAATCTTAACTTTCTCTGAATTTATTTGGCGTACCTTCCTGAAAAAATCGGAGTTTTCAGTAAAAAAAAAATTGGGAAAATTCATTTTTTCTATTAATTGAATCATTTTAAATTAAATGGGGCTACAGATTTAGGGCTTGACAGATTCCTACTTTTTTAGTCGTTTCCTTAACAGTTGATTCCAAGCATACGTTAAAAAGGAAAATTTCAGGTAGCCCATAATTTAAGGTAAGAACGTTTCATTAACAGCAACAGTTAACGGCTCTAGCCGTTATTGGTACTGTTATTACAGAATTAACATCGTTAATGGCGCAAAGTGCCAAAATAATTTCAACAATGATTAATGAAATCGTTAACAGCACAGCAGTTAAAGTCAATTGCAGTATTAACGGCTTGAATGACAGGAAGCGCTGGGAAAAAAAATTGTTAACAGTTTATGATATCGTTAACAGTTGTTTACACAAAAGTGCACCATTTAAAAAATGAAACATGTAAATTTCTTTTTTAAGTTTCATGCAATTTTAAACAATCCCTTTTCGTTTTCGTTTTCAACTTAATTTTTTTTCAAAAAACGTCTAATCCCTTTCGTTAACTATTTCAAAATTAACAGTTTTCGCTTTCGTTAATGGACTCTTAAATTTTCGAAAACCCCTGTTTTGTTAAAGGAACTTTGCCCAGCCATAGCTAAAGAATTATCATTTAAAGGTATATTATATCCCCTGTTGAAAATACATTTTAAACCCAAAATTTGTGTGATGAGAAAATGACTCCGACTATTGTCGTACTCTAGAAAAACGCACATGAATGCCGAAATTATAGATTTTTCTGTAAAACACACCACATGTTATTTGTGCAGCAAATTTTAGACACTGAGCAACGTTTGCAGTTGTTGAACATTTATTTTGTAAAAAATATTAGAATTTACTTTCTAGAAGTAACGAAAATAAAACTACGTTGGAAGTAAAATATTTGGTATTTTTGAGGGAAACAAGTAACATCTGCTGGATTCAGTTCACACTTTGCACGAGCGTACACTTCGATTTTACAGCAATTTATTTGGGAGATATATTCACGGAGTTCTCTGTCCTCAATGATTAGACAAAGGTTAAAAGTATACAGTTGTAAATTGAGAATTACCTTTTTGCATGCAGGTCATTTGATTCAATTGCAAAGTATTGGTGAGCAACTTTTCAAAAAAAGTGAAATATAAGTTAACGTTTTTAAAACTTTTTAATGATCATAATTTAAAAATAACTATTATCTATAATCTAAAATCAAATATTAAACTACTAGGCTTTTAGAGTGCTTCGTGCCCTCTACTATTTCAATTGTAAACATTTTCTCTTTGTAAACACTGTAAAACAGAAACAAAAGAAGTTCACTGATTTTATAAAAAAAATTCGGGGATTTTCAAAATTTGATGAAAATCGAATTTTGTAAAGGCAAATTTTTTAAAATTTAATCATCTAAAAATCTTCCCTGTGGACATGTGAAGTCCCACACAAAAATTAGGCCCGATCATTTTAGCTGTTTGGCCATTTATTGGAGACAAGCAGACAGACAAACAAACAGACAAATAAAGCATATATTTAGATATAAAGTATTTACAAGTCTGAATTAGAGATTGAACAATACGTCGATACAGTTGTACTTAGTAGTAGTTAGTTTTACGTGATGGATACAGTGTAACAACAAGTGGCTACATCCTTTCCTATATTCTACGTCTGCATTTTATACAATTGTACATCTACTTTTTACACATGTGCCTTGTTTAAATCATAGCTTTGTTTTTATAGTAGTACCATAAAACAGTGGTATAAGAAGACGATATTTAGGAAACTGTATGATTCCATCAGTAAAAATTGTTAAATTTAAAATACGTATGTTTTCTGGTTCAAATCAGTTTTAAATTGACGTTGAATGAAGGATCACTTTAAAATATGTTCAGTGTCCCTTTAAACCGTTTTTTTTTATTTGAAAATGGAAAAACATTGCTCTATTGTCCCGGTATATATCCTGATTCACAACAGTACCCCCTAAACCTTATATATCCTGATTCACAACAGTACCCCCTAAACCTTATATATCCTGATTCACAACAGTACCCTCTAAACCTTATATATCCTGATTCACAACAGTACCCTCTAAACCTTTCCCGGATTAAGGCTGATTGACTTCTTCTTCTTTATTCTACAAAACCCTTGTAATTGTAAAAAGAAACTTTTTATATTTAAGAATTATTAATATCTATTTCTAGAAGTCGCAGAATATTAATATTTACATTCGAATTTTTGAAACAGCAAAATGTATAAAGTGGGCTGTTGTATGAATTTGCATGAAAGGTCCATGTTAATTACGCCTACAGTCATTTTTATCTATTCTTTTATAAGAGGAATTATTACACGGATAGTACAGGTGTCCCAATAAACATGGGAATCGAATTTGAAATCGTCTTTGTTAAGAGTTAGTGTTGTGCATGTTCAAAATAAAGTTATACTAAATCAAAAGTTCATTTACAAGGACGATATCAAAATCGTCACTGAATTCCCATGTTTACTGGGACACCTTGTCCAGTATGTTACAATTATCTTTAAAGAAAGTAATATTTATTGGAACAAAAAGATATTAAAACATAAGAAGATGGTCATTGTAAAATATTAACATTTTTTAACAATTTATTTAATTAAATAAGAAATTATCTAATTTCTGTCTTGCAGGATTAAGTATCTTAAAGGAAGCGTAATTTAATTCAAGTGATATTCCATGCGAAGATGGCAGTGCCCGATTTACAACGGTAATCTTTAAACCTTTATCTGATCAATAATGTGGAAGATATTGTTGTTTTTTCAGGTCTAAAAGTGTTTAATTCTGATATCAGTATGTTTACTAAAGTACTAAATACTCGATCTGCAGACAAAGATTTCATTTCATTTCATAAAATGCATAGGTTGAAATATCTACAATATTGGGTTGCAAGGATATATAAGGATTAGAAAATTAGAGTTTGCGGCAAAACTTCAATTTCTTTTCATAGGAAATACATAAACTTGTTGATATAAGAAATCAACTAGACAGGAAATACATAAACTTGTTGATATAAGAAATCAACTAGACAGGAAATACATAAACTTGTTGATATAAGAAATCAACACCAATTTGTCCCGTATATATTTGAGAATCATAGGAGTATATCAAACTTTTCTCCTCGATCTCCCTAAAAAAAAAAGTTTTTAAAAAAAGTAGAAAAATTAATATTAACAATAATTTTCGTTACAATAGCAACATGGAAATAGTAATGATGATAGAAGTCATAGTAATAATAAAAATTATTAAGGTATTATCACAAAATTATTAATGATGATAATAATAATAATAATATTATAGCACTAATAATTTAATTATGGTTAAAATAATAAGGATAACAATAATAAAGTAGCAATAATATAAATGATCATAATGATAAAAATAAAGAAAATAATAATTAATTTAAAAAAAACCTTGAATTAAATCTGTGTTTGCTACGTTTAGCTTCTTCTATGAAAAATTGTGCAAAATGTCCATTTGCTAGAATCGCTTCCCTGAAAAAATACAAGGATACCCATTAAAGGGACTGTAAAGGAAAAATGAATGGGGGTACAGGCTGAAAGCTAATCTCTTGATCGCGACTCATGAAAGTTATAAGTTCCTGTCTCGAAAAATTGATATAACTGTGTCAAATTTATATATACAATTTTGTAAAGAAAATAGAAGGTTTAAACAGATCATATTCAGCAAATACGCAGCCAATCAGAAAACAAAGATACCTCAGAGAAACCTGTTTGTAACTTAGGTTTTCTCCAATAATTACTTTATAAGATATCAGATATAATTAATAATATTATTTATAAGTCCGTATTACGTCACAAGAACTCCCACCAATGGTAGTGATACAGACAGAGACACATGACCACTATACCGCACTGCCATTAGTGGGAATTCTGGTGACGTAATACGGACTTTGCTGAATATGATCTGTTTTAACCTACAATTTCCAAACGAAATTGTATATGCATGAATTTTCGTATAAATTTGACACAGTTTTATATCAATTTCTCGAGACAGGAACATCAGATAAAACTTTCATGGGTTGCGATCAGGAGCTAAAGTGATTAGCTTTCAATCCCTTTAAACTGTGGATTTGGAAGACAAGATTTTATAAATCATTCGATTTTTAAGGTTTTTTTTAAACCAATAATTTTAGCTTTATAGACTTATTAAGTGACCATATTAGGGCTGCCCCCCCCCACAATATTTTGGGTCATTTAGTGACGCTATTCAAGCTATGAAGGGGAGGCAAAGTAAATAAATACTAAAGTGGAACAGACTAAGGCAACGACGGCAGGTTGGGCCATAAGGTTTTATTTGGTTTGGAAATAAATAATTGCATGAAAAGATTTCTTTTGGAGAGTAAAGACTAGAAAAAAGAGACTAAGGACCCATGTCAATGTCGTCTTCAGCTAGAACTTCAAAATTTTCATAAATAAAAAATAAAAAAATTTCGTATGTTTTTATGTGTTTTATATGCAAATACTATATAGTCGCTTAATAAATTCATCGATTTTGCCTGGCAGGCTTGACCTTCTAATTCTATAAGAATTTATCTTTAAAACTGCTTAGTTTTGTTTTGGCCCCCCAAGAAATGTAAGCCCTTCCTGGGAAAAAACCTGAATACGCCTCTCTTAATATCTTTAAAGCTATGTTTAGTTCTCAAATGAGGGACTCAATAGTATATCCAAAGGCAAGCCCGGGGGTTTATTATTGGATCTGGAGAGGATTTTTTAGGACAAGTATACCTTGTATATGGTATATTAGGACGAGTTTACCTTGTATGTGGTATATTAGGACGAGTGTGGTATATTAGAACGAGTTTACCTTGTATGTGGTATATTAGGACGAGTTTACCTTGTATGTGGTATATTAGGACGAGTTTACCTTGTATGTGGTATATTAGGACGAGTTTACCTTGTATGTGGTATATTAGGACGAGTGTACCTTGTATGTGGTATATTAGGACGAGTTTACCTTGAATGTGGTATATAAGGACGAGTTTACCTTGTATGTGGTATATTAGGACGAGTGTACCTTGTATGTGGTATATTAGGACGAGTGTACCTTGTATGTGGTATATTAGAACGAGTGTACCTTGTATATGGTATATTAGGACGAGTTTACCTTGTATATGGTATATTAGGACGAGTTTACCTTGTATGTGGTATATTAGGACGAGTTTACCTTGTATGTGGTATATTAGGTCGAGTGTACCTTGTATGTGGTATATTAGGACGAGTGTACCTTGTATGTGGTATATTAGGACGAGTGTACCCAATTTCAAAACTCGCTTTCTCAGGATGAAAATGGGTTCCATAGAAAGGATAATTCTAAAAATAGATCAATAAACTAATTAGAGTAATATTTACAGTAATATAAGCGACATTTTATTCAAAGATAGTGAACAAGGTTTTAATACTGGAACAAAATTAAACCCTCATGTAAGAATAAAGATAAATAATCAATAAATAGAAAAAATGAATAAGATAACAATAATTTTTTAATTAAAATTGTTTATTTTCACTTGTGGTTTCTTCTGCAAAACTGACAATTGAACATATCTTGCGAATACGAAACAATGGAGAAATTCGAAAAGATATTCGCCATTAATTTTTCAGTATAATGACCATATAAAATGCGATAAAAATAAACAAATAATGGAAGTTAAACAGGCTGAATGTAAAGTGTAAAATTCATTTAAAAAAGGGTATACACGATGCTTTACCCTGAAACCGTAATCTAACATTGTCGGCTTTATAGCATAAAAAGTGTTTAATTCTTATAATTTTTCCATTGCTTCTGAAGCAAGAAATTTATTTTATAGAGAAACTACAAATGCTTGTTCATTCAAAGCTTTAAAGGATACCACCGTTGTGAATTGGACATGGCACTCTGTCAATTGAGGGTTACTTGATATTATGTTTATAGTTCTTTTTAACGGATTTTTGTCAGAAACACAAATATAAAAACACAAATATAAAAACATATATTCATTTTAAATACCTTTGCTTCCACACTAGTGATATATTCCAACCCATTCTAAAAATATTTCATTTTAAAATCTTATCATTCATTTTCAATCACGTTTATAACGCAAGTTTAATTCTTAAAATGTTTGGAGTAAAATCAGGAATTCATTAACAAAAATCTTTCTTAATATGATTTTCTTATCCCATAATTAATTTAAAAAGAATATTCGCGAAAAAGGAAAAGGGGAATAGGCTTACGGCAAAAAATAATTGATGATTATAGATTGCAATATCTGAATGATTTGTTTGAAATTTAATTTTTTACGCTACGATCGAGTCGTATATTGCAACTTTCTGAATTTGTATGGACGTTACGTTCTTCAGTATGAGTCATTTTTAACAATATTCACCTTATAGACGCAACAGATAGAAGTTAGATTAGTAGCGATAAAAAGCGATTATTTTTCGCCCTAACCCTATAACCCCTTTCAATTTTCACGAACACTCCCTTTAACATTTGCAGAAGGTTCAGATATTTATCTTTGGAAATTCATTTTCTTAAGGAATTTAAGTATCTGTGAGATCAAATTAAATGGAAATTCCTGGTTTTGAAAGGGATGAACTGTCTCAATTTATCAACCGCTTTGACTAGTTTTTATTTTATGACTAGTTTTGTATATTAAGTGTTTTGAGTCTCAAATTTCAAATAGGCTAATATTTAATCTTGTAAACCTGAAATATTTCAAATTATAAATTCTGTTAAATCATATTTTCTAAGTTTGAAATACCAATGGTTGTCTTTCAGGTTGAAAAGATAAAGGAATTAGAAAATTTGAGTTTGCTGCAAAGACTCAATTCTTTTGTTGAAAATTATATGCAGACAATCTTTCAGCCGGAATATTTGCGCATTTTGGGAATATGGAAACCTTCAACTATACTCAGTACTCACCTTGTCTATATTTGTAGACAAGGGAATGTAGAATTCATCCATTTTAAACCTAAACAAAACTCATTAGAAAAGCTACAGGGTGTCCAACGAAACATAACAGTAGCAAGACAATTTAAAAGTCGTCTTTGATTTTTAGATTCATTTGAGACAGCCGTCAACTTTCCTTCACATGCTTGATACTTTAAACAGTTTAACCAAAATATTCTCCTGGTCCTGTTTTGAGATTTCAATATTACCAAACGTATTAAGAATTTCGTTCAAATTTCAATTTTTTTTAAACAAAACCAAACTTTTCGAAATCTGAACAAAATTAATCATATCTCCAGTAATATTGAGAGCACAAAAAAGCAAAGCATTTTTTCGAAATGCCAAGACTAGGGATATGCCGTAATTTTTTTTTAAATATCAAAGACGACATTTAATGTCATGTTTCGTATTGTAAAATAATGAGAACTCAGATAGATGAGTTGAGTGTGAAATGGAAAAAAAATTAGAATTTTTTTTCTGACCATCACATACAGGGTGTCCCACGACACATGACAATTGGTGAATAGTATGTCTTCTTCAATATACTGTATTAGATATTTAAAATTGTTTGTAGTTTATTTTGTTAAAAAACTCGTTAACTCAAATATATTGGAACATTATGGAAGACATTTTAAACCATTCACCAACTGTCATGTTTCGTGGGACACCCTGTAGATCCAGATTGTTACGAAAAGTTAAATCAATTCATTGGTTCGACTTTGAAGTGTTACAAAGCCTTGGTCTTTGATTTCGCCTCTCTAACTTCATTAATTAAGTTTTCTTATAAACTTGGTTTCAGCTTTAGTTCTCAGTTTTCAGTAATGAGCAAAATGTCATCAATTATTGTATGAGAGCTTGCAACCTTTCTAGACCTTTGGAAGATCCTATACTTCATATAAACATTTTAGCAAGGCGACTGACTATAATTGTCTTAAAAGAGATAATTTAAATTGAGTTTTCCTTAAACTATTTTTCTTCAAAATTGGAATAATGTCACGACTTTTAATTCGTCTTTGGTCAGAGCAATATTCATTCGTTCATCATATTATACAGGGGTGTCTTAGTAAACATAGGAATTGACTGAAGAATTCGATATCTTCTTTCTGAAGATTACTGTTTAATTTTCTGATCCTTATATCTTAGCAACTTGATGGTGCCAATCTTTGTGGCAAAGACTCAGATCCTTTGTCCGTCTTCACTGTTCATCTTGCAGAATCATTATAGACACATCTTTACAGCCATTTAATGTTTTCATAAAATAAACTTTATGTGGCAGACATAATAATATCATCGATTTTGATATCATTATCAGGTATTACAATGCCTATTCTTAACAAAGACGATCTTTAATTTGTCACTCAATTCCCATGTTTATTGGGACACACTGGACTAATGTAATATACAATGAGAGACAGAAAAATCTGGAATGGGAAACGACTCTTAGACTTAATGCGTGACTTTTAGTAGTCCTCTGAACATGAGACGCAGGGACAGTGCAATGTAAACAGACAGTGTAAATAGATAAACTATTTGCGTTTTAAAAGCTTCAAATGTACAAATGTATTGCTTTAATGTCGTCTTATTCCACAGTTTTCTGGTTATCACTGTATAAAAGAGCAAACCTGGTAAAATTGTCCATGGTGAGGCAATACATATGGAAGTTTGAAGTCACATTCATAGTAGTCAAGATGTTTAGAATGTCGTTGTCAGCCTTTAGTTTACAAAAATTGTTTATATGTTTATAAGAAACATTTGATTCAAAGAACCATGCGTGTTACCCTTTAAGAAGAGATAGATTTGTTATTATTAGAAAATTCAAAACTTTTAAGAGAAACTTATAAGTTTAATTTGAAGTTCGACCACCCCCCCCCACCCCCCAAGCAAAGAAGGAAACTATCAGATTTAAAATCTTTTTCATTGTTTCTGTATAGCAAAAGAAACCACACATGTAGCTTTCTAATTTTAAGATAGAAAACTGGAATTCATGCAGTTAAAATTCTATAGAATCTTTTTAAGAAGGTTTACTATCAATTAAAATGTAAAAAAATATTTTTCAACTTTTATAAGTTTTTTTTAGAAGATATCTATATATAAAATTATCATACAATTAAATGCTTTTGAAATTTAAACTCCAATTATGGATTCTCACAATGCAATGCTTTATATTCCGCCTCTAAAAGAATACCTTTTTGAAAAGACGACTTTCCTTCCAATCTTCCAGTAGGTTTAAAGGAAGATGCTGATCCCAAGCATCACATCTGGATAAAAAATGATTTAAAGAAGGTAAGGCCCAATTTAAAGAATTTAAACCCCGTCCCTGATCCTCCAAAAACCGGTTCCAATTGAGCACTGGCTCAAATCTCGAAACATTGAATACAATTTCAAGTGGAGCCACGTCTCATATTTGAGCAGCGGCTCAAATTTTGCCTCTGTTGATAAAATTTTAAGCGAATCTTTTTTTAAAGTGGCATGTCACTATAATGTCCCAGGAAGGGGTTGATTTATTTGGTGTACTGTACCGTTTAGCCTTATAATAGTCGATCTGTATTTGTGTACTGTACAGCTTGCTCTAGTTGCTTAAAACTTGAAATGAACCGGAGTTCATAGTGATATCTGATTAACGACGGGATTTCCAAATTGTGTTATGCTATTTTATCACTCCAGTTCACGAACTTTTCCCACATTTGCAAAAAATGTTCAATTTTAAAAGGAAACTATTGTCTTTACACCTTTTTAAAAGGTCAGATTATCTCTTTGATAAAAACACGGAAAACTAGGAGTCACATGATTATATTCTTGAGCCATGTTCACCCTTTAAATAGAGAATTTTTATATATTTTTTGTTGAGTTATTTATTTTAATGCTTTCTATGAAAAGAATTTCGTAAGCTTTTTTTGACAGATTATGAATGAGAATCAAAATGTTCCGATACAAACACTTTGATGTAAAATGTTTTACATGTAAAGGAGGGTGTCCAATAAGGGTGCTCAATATTGGAATTAAGCCAACCGCCCAACGGAGGTGGCTGAATTTTCACTTTAACAAATATTGCAATAAAAAATAGTCACAAAAATATTAAAAAAGTCACAATTCAATTTTCGGTGAACGAAATTACGCGAATTTCAATGTATTTTTGACGACAATTTTAGACCTAATTTTCGCAAAAATTTGTTCTTTTTCGCAAAATGTTCGTTCAACTTTCATAAAACATACTATTTCATTCGAAAATTCGGAAATATTCTGGAAATATTGTGGAAATATTGACCTCTTGTCTGCAGTATAGTTTACCTTGCTAGATGGCGTATCTTGTCTGCAGTATAGTTTACCTTGCTAGATGGCGTAGCTTGTCTGCAGTATAGTTTACCTTGCTAGATGGCGTATCTTGTCTGCAGTATAGTTTACCTTGCTAGATGGCGTATCTTGTCTGCAGTATAGTTTACCTCGCTAGATGGCGTATCTTGTCTGCAGTTGATGCAAGAGTGATAAATTCAAATCCAAGGCATGTTGCCCAAATAGGGAAATAATCCCCATCATCATTTGCTGCCTGAATTTTGAAGCATTAACATCTAATTTTGTGTCATTTTACTGATGGAACTTTTGATAAAATTAATTAAAAATTTCTTGAAAGTTTTTCAAACCTTTGCGTACTCGAAGATCTGAGTTACGAGCCTGAAAAAAATGTAAAGTTCAATGCTAATAAAAAGGATGAGACTTATTTATAGCTAAAAAGAGTAAAAAAACTAAATGGGAGTTTCATTCACTGAAGTTTAGTCTTTTTTCACGTTTTGGCGTTTATTTAAAATAAACAGACAAACAAACAGACAGAAAGATATACTTTGTCGTCGTAAAATTTTAATATATTTATTTGAATTGATTGAACGTTAAACTTAAAAAGCACAAAAAACTCTAAAATCAATTTAATAATATCTAATAAAATATGACACCTTGAATATGTAGAGTTCTCAATGTTGGACCTTCCTCCAGCAATCAGAATTCCATTTACACTCTCTAATAACTAATGCAAAAAAAATCGGTTTTAGCTGAAGCAAGAAAACGAAGTTTACCTCAAAAAAGTGTAATCGAATTTGGACTGGGAAAAATCGATTCTGAACTAAAAAAAAAAAAATTTTGATTTGGAAAAATTAGATTCCAAACTAAAAATAGAAATCAACTGCAAACCAAAAAGAAAATAATATTTTACACAGAAAAAAAAAATTGAGTTTGAACAGGAAATACTTTAAAATGAAAAAAACTGCATAAAACTGAGAAAGAAAATTGATTTTGATTTTAAAAAAAGAAAATAGATTCAACTGAAAACAAAGAGAGACTTCTCTTTTACATTTTCAAACCCAACAGATATAAATGATTATCAAACTGTGGATATCGAGATCAATCATTTGCAGATTAATTCAATCCTTAATCAATATCCCAAATTGTAATCGTATCCATGGTCCAGGGTTGAAGAAAGCTTTGATAAGGGGAGGAATAACTTAAATCTAAAAGAGCCCACAGTGGATATCAAGATAAAACGATTATGAGAACTTGAAATTTCTAATATAGAGCGTCTTTGATTACCTCGGTAAAATTCTGTGAACTTCCTAGAACAAGAGGAACCACTCGTCCGCCTAAAAAATATAAAAAAATTTACTAATAATAATTATAATCTGCTTGAAGAAATTAGAAATTGTATCGTTTTGTTACAGTGAACCCCAGTTAACTTTGGAATAGAAAGACGACTTTAATACTTTAACTGTCCAATGAACATGAGATGCAGTGTAAACACTAAACAGACTAATTTCACTTAATACGTGGTTTAATAAGTTATTGGTAAAACTATGTTCTTTGTACCAAAATCAAACCTGCAATTTATTGCTTTGATGTGTATTCGGGTCTAACCTATGAATAATTTACATATTGGCATATACAGATTTAATCTAGGGCACTGGTGGGCTAAATGGGTTGAATTCAAGGGGATTTTAGAGTGGAAAACTGCACCCTTCTGTATTATCCCTTGAATTTATATATTCATATATTTTAGCATTTATTGATTCTAGATGTAAATACATGATAAATAACGAGTGTATAAAAGGAGAGGAGGATCTTCTCTGGTTCCAGAATCCAACATTACTGATTTGCGGATTTTATAATCCTCTTTCGGATATTTTATCCTCTACAATATATAATATAGTTTTATTCCAACTTAAGATTGGACCAGACCATGAAGCATTTTGTCTTGGAAAATATATATATTTAAACTGAGAAAAGTTGAAAAGGATACCAATTTTGTCAAAAAGGAATTACAATATGACTTCTTACTCTTTTTCCAATTCTTTCAATAGCAATATAAAATTATAAAACAGAAAAAATAAGTTGTCATAAAAAAATTTGTATCTGGTACAGTGAGACCTATAAAACTGTGGACTAGGAAGACGACATTTAATCAATATTATAAGGCTGTTGTAAAGAAAACATTTTTACCAGTAGGTTGAAATAGGCCTGTGTACACTGCACACTTGCTGTGTTTCATGATTATTGGACTGTCTAAAATCATAACTTCAGTCTAATAGTCGTCTTCCATCACTTCAATCAAATAGTCATCTTCCATAACTTCAGTCTATTAGTCGTCTTTCATAACTTCAGTCTAATATGTCGTCTTCCATAAATTCAGTCTAATAGTCGTCTTCCATAATTTCAGTCTAATAGTCGTCTTACAAAACTTCTGTCTAATAGTCGTCTTCCATAACTTCAGTCTAAAAGTCGTTTTCCATAACTTCAGTCTAATAGTCGTCTTCCATAACTTCAGTCTAATTTCCATAACTTCAGTCTAATAGTCGTCTTCCATAACTTCAGTCTAATAGTCGTCTTTCATTACTTCAGTCTAATAGTCGTCTTCCATAACTTCAGTCTAATAGTCGTCTTCCATAACTTCAGTCTAATAGTCGTCTTCCATAACTTCAGTCCAATAGTTGTCTTCCATAACTTCAGTCTAATAGTCGTCTTCCATAACTTCAGTCTAATAGTCGTCTTCCATAACTTCAGTCTAATAGTCGTCTTCCATAACTTCAGTCCAATAGTTGTCTTCCATAACTTCAGTCTAAAAGTCGTCTTCCATAACTTTAGTCTAATAGTCGTCTTCCATAACTTCAGTCTAATAGTCGTCTTCCATAACTTTAGTCTAATAGTCGTCTTCCATAACTTCAGTCAAATAGTCGTCTTACAAAATTTGAGCCTAAGTTGTCTTCCTATTCCAAATTGTATGGCTCCCACTGTAAACAATTTTTTTAAAACCTCACCAGCCGACTCTATCCATTTGACATAGCTGCTTGCTATAAAGGTACCTAAGAAATGCATCGTTAAAAAATTAGAATTTTTAGTTTTTTTATTCTTTGATAATAATTACCTCCTGGCGAAAAATGATCCAGAGCAAGTGGAATATTTTGACTAATAATCCCTTTAAAAAAAATAAATAAAGAAACTGTCATCGTACTTTGAAGTGAACCTCCATGCCAGATTCACAGAAGTACCTTTACACCGTTGTATGATCTATAATGTGGAAGATGTCGTTTTTCGAGCTTAATAAAGGGTTATTTGTATTTTCTGAGACGTGTTAGGAGTTAGGACAACCTCTAGAACTATACATGTATAATTTTCTCTAGCTCAGTTCGCAACTTCAAATGAACTTAAGTTTTTATTGTGTTTTTTTTTAATCAAAAACAGTCCATAAGCTGTCCTAAATATCTTCAATAGCTCAGCACTTTCAAGGCCTGCTAGTTCTAAGCAAATAATAAGATTGTTTTATCAAAAAATATTCGTATATTGTCTGTTTCTTGGTTCTGCAAACTATTGAAAAACATCTGATGGTTTTGGAGTGGCATAATTGTGAGAACTTTTATTGGTAAGATTTTTGTGACCTAAGTTGTTACCATGGAGGGATTAGTAAATGTCGATTAAAAAAAAGAATGAGTTTAGAGCTCAATCTTTCCTTTTAAAACATTTTAACTAAGGATTGAAAATGTGGGTTTGATGTCAAGGGGTTCTTAAGTTCTGATCGGACATACAAACAGAAAAACTAAGATTACTACTTTATTTATATACTAGCTTGGGAACCCAGCGCTGCCAAGATTACTAAAATTTACTTACACCGTTTAACTGCACTTGAACGATTTTACCAGGAAACAAAATTTTCGCTATTTAAGTGGACCCACTCAACTTAGAATCTTAAAACCAATGGGGTCTTTAGAGTTCCCCAATCAAAAGTTGAAGCAAATCGGTCTTGGGGTTTCTGAGTTATGCTTGGACAAACAAACAGACAGACACAAACAGAGATTACAACTTTATTATTTAGATAAATATAGATTGTACCTATAATGGGAGTTTCAGTCGCTAATGTAGAAGTCGTCAAGCAAATAAGTAAAAAACCCAACATCATAAAAATCAGAAAATAAAACCTTCTGAAAAATGATTATTTACAGTTGAAGGTTTTCCATAAAAGTGTTTTGCGGATTAAAGCCGCTGCAGATACAAAGAAGTAATTTTCCCAATTTTTATCTTTTCAGATAAAAAGATATCCCAAATTCTATTGCTCACATTTGTCACGCTTTTTTGTTTATTAGATGTGAAAATGGTAACAATTTGCTTCTCTTTCTTTGAGCACTCAATAAATCAGACGAAATTTTTACAAAATGTAATTTGATGTTTTTATCTATCAATTTTTTTTCTCCTTAAAATGAATAAATGAAAATTCAGAATCCCTGTGCACAATGATTTTCAATCTGCGCAGATCCATTGACTACTTCAAAAGGTTGCATCAATTTTTAAGACTGGGTTCGACTCTACACCTTTATCTTTAATTTCTATATTGCAAACTCACTTAAACTTGTGTAAAGTCCTATTCTTGAAAACTATAAAGCACTTGTTTAAAGGGACTGTAAGCGTAAGTTTAAGTGACCCTCCATGCAAAGATTGCCATGCCCGATTGATTTACAACGATACTCTTTAAAACTTGATCTGATCAAGCATGAATTAGCTATGCATGTTTGTTATGGTTTCTCAGCTAAAGTGATTAGGGCATTCTTGATGATAAGAAGCAGTGGAGAAATTAGAACAACTATGATATCTTTCTCATGTTTAATCATCAGATCAAGGTTTGAAAGGTTCCGTTGCTTTCTTTGAAGGTCACTTAAAGTACCTTTAAACTTTTATTTTAGGAAGTAATTGGCAAAATTTTCATTGATTACAACCTTTGGACCACTGAAGAACCGCAGCGATTAAAAATGATATTAAAAAGAAAGCCTCGGATCGAGGACAATGCAGAACTTAAATCTATCCGATGTCTAATTGTTAATATTATCTATAGAACAACTTTAAAGGGACCGTACGGGAATTGAAACATTGTACTAAAGGGGGGATGGTCGGATTTATAGATATACGTTTCGGCTAAAATCACAATACGTACATTTTAAGTTTTACAATTTATTCACTGCCTGGCGTTGCCCGTGGAATTAAAAAAATCTTTAAAACTTTTTAAAAATCGCTTTTCTTTGTTAACACTGGAGTATACTCATTAATTCAGCCAATTTCAGTGGGAAATAGTTCCAAAACTTACACTTGGCCTATTTCTAATACTGAGTGTTAGAAATGGGCGAAATCTGCAACGTTATCTTTTCAAAGCATATATATATCTTTAAATCCAAGCCTCATCAAACAAAACTATACATACTCTTATAAAACATGACTGAAACTATATATTGAAACAAAAAATGTCTACTTTAAACGAATAATAAGGTGTGAGAATTAGTTTTTGATGATACTTAATTTTATTTTCGAACATATCCCTTTTAGAAACATATACCAAATTTCAGCTCATCTCGCGTTTTTGGGCCAAGCGCTGCGGCCAAACTTATCAAATTGATAAAGTAATTGCCAATATGTAGGGTTAGGCTTGGTTAAGACAATTTCTGGGCCGAGCTTTCTATACCTATGAATGTGTCATCCAACCTACAAAAGTTGTGGATACGACCTTCATAATTTGTGATCCGACTAACAAAAGTTTTGCATCCAATCTACAAAAGGTGTACATCAGACCTATAACTAATGTTGTGCATCCGACCTTCTTAGGTTGGTCATCTGATCTACGAATGCAGTAAATCGGACCTATAGTAAGTCGGATTGCAATAACTTTTTTTCAATTGATTGTGTATCCGACATATAGTTCATCAGACCAACAGCAGCCAGAAGCTGCTGGAAAACCACGTGCGGGAAGGTCCGAAGTATCGTAGGACGGATGTAACGTAGGACGGATGTAATGCAATGTCTCCTGAATTTGGTCCAGCTAGTAACATATATATTTGAGCAAAGAGCATTTAGTAGAATCTACAATGCAAATGTTTTTACTCATGACGTTATTAACATAAAGTAAGTTTTGATTTTTAAACTTTCTCTTTAAGAATTGCAAAGTAATTATCAAATAACAAGTGTTATTCAACAAAAGGTTGATTGTAAGTGAAAGATTTATTACATAGTTGTACAATTATATTATTAATATAGGTTAATAAAAATTATTTTATTTTTAGAGCTATTACTTTTTTCCTTCTTGAGTTGCTGTGAAACCCGTTTTCCAGAGTTAAAGTTAGAACTAAGAATACAGTTGAAAGCAGTATACAGGGTTACCCACAAAGAATGAGACTTTTGAGACACTGTAAAGATTTTTTTCATCCTTGTTTCTTACATTTGTGGTTCATAGGAGCAGCAAACTAGTTTTTTCATCACAAAATCATTTATTACACCTCCAAGAGTTACCAGAGGTGGTAGTGGTACGGTTTCCAGTGAACGAAACTTTCGCAAAAAAATGCGGAAATTTTGCGTTCGTATTAAACGAACTTTTTCGAGAAATTTCGCATTTTTTTGCAAAAATGAATACAGCGAAAAAATGCGAAAACGATTAAAAATTTTGCAAAATTTTGAGACATTTTTTTTGTAGCTGCAACAATAAATTGCGCAATAAAAATTCTCTGCTCTGAAGGCTCAACATTAGAATTTTTATTTTATCATAATTAACAATTTCTCTTCCGTATTTTTTTCGCATTTTCACCCCGCAAAATTGTTGCATTTGTTTTTTTTCGCGAAACAGATTAAAGCGGAATTTCGCGAAAATGGCGAAAATGTTATTTTTAAAAAATTGTAATCAAATGATTTACTGAATTATTTAATGTCCTAGGATGCGATTTAAAGAAATAAGTTGATCAAGTGATAATAAAACCCCTACACCACCTGTACCAAATACATAATTTCGGGAAATAAAACTCTAAGTGAACATTTTTCAAAGTAAACGATGGGTCCAAACATATAACTGACACAATTGGAGGAGTACGTAGGGCAGCAAGGCAAGCCGCACCCGTATAGCCTCCATCCCGCAATTTACTCCCAAACATAGAGTTGTGGCAACGCACTCACCCGTAGCGCTTCCTACCCGCACCCCTTTATCCTCCGGCATAATGTTTTGCGATTTTCTCCTAGAATATGATATTTTTCACAGTTAAACCCTAAATACTAAATACATCAAAAGAATGTATCAAATTGTTATTAAATGTCGTATTCTTCACTTTCTGATAATGGAAGGTTTTAATTAAAAGATTATATGGAGCTCCATAAAACTGTTCCCACATATTCATGGCTATTTATTTATCTTAGCAATTACTGAGATTTACATACGAAATATAGTTTAAACCCATTGAATAATTGTCAAGACGACATTTCTTAAATTCTTTCGATGTATTTAATATTTAGGGTTTAACTGTACGTGCTATGACGTGTTTAAAATCTTAAATTTACGCTGCATTTCTCTAAATTCATTTTGCCTCAAAAAATTGGGAACAAAATTGAGAACATTTCCAAAATTTGACGATTTTTAAAAACATCGATTTAGTCTAAGTTTGAATGATAAACTTAGCTTTATGACGGAAAAATGTCTCTGCAAAAAATTCAAGATTTTTTCCGACTAGAAGAAAGTTTACATTCTTGTCGAGATCGATCCTTTTCTCGGTCTTAGTAAGCGGGGCCAATATTATGTTAATGTGTAATATGTTACAAATATTACTGATTAATTATTAAATTTATAGGATTATCAAACTCACACTATATACACAACCCTTTCCTCAAAAAAGAAAAAAATGCAAAAAAATAACTTTTTATTTTCATAAATGATTGTTTTGTAACAGCAAGGCTCCGAGGCTTGACAATCCACCTTGTAAAAATCACAAAACAATTTAATAACTTAAAAACATTCATTTTCGTATATCATATCATAAAAAAATTATTGTATTGATCAAAGGCAAAAAAATGAAGTTTTGGAAATTTTGATTTGTTAGAAAAAATTGGTATGGCTTTTATTTTTAAACAATTTTTGTCACTACATACCTATCCTAACATAATTACTTATCTGTTCCTACCAAAATTACCTATCCTATCCTATCCTATCCTATCCTAACCTATCCTATCCTATCCTATCCTATCCTATCCTATCCCTATCCTATCCTATCCTATCCTATCCTATCCTATCAGTTACCTAGCTGCTCCTACCATAATTACCTATCTAAACCTTTCGTAACTTCCTTAATATTCGTACCAAAACTACTTACTTCCTAATCTATCAATCAATTGCTGTTCAAATACACCCAATTTAATTTCTGCCTAACATTCAAATAAATTTCCAAATCCATTTTTAACCCAATTACACCAATTTGAAGAAAACAATATGGAAAAAGTTAAAATGTTTAAGGAAGAAGTCCCTTAAAGCACAAGTATCACAAAAAAATTACAAATAACTTGTTAAAAGCGATGAGATAAAAGTTGGATCAAATATTAATTAATCATTGTTTAATTGGGCGCAGTTATTGGAGTGAATTAATAGCTTTGGAGCTAATCATTAGCGCTGGAGCTAATTAATAGCAGTGGGACAAATTAATAGCGAGAGCGTATTAACAGCGCTGCAACTTATCAATAGCTCTAGAGCTATTCAATAATGACTTTGAAGCTAGTTAACAGCGTTGGAGCTAATTAAAAGCGTTGGAGCTAATAAACAGTGTTGAAGCTAATTAACAGCGTTGGAGCTAATTAATAGCTTGGAAGCTAATTAATAGGTCTCTGCGATCCACCAGTCAGAAGAATTCCACGCCCTTTTCTTCCCTAAAATAATCATATTATAAATGAAAATATAAAATTTATAAATCACCGACAGTGAAGACAAATGCAATTTCAAAATTGTTGTTAAATTGAAAAAAAAATCTTATTTCTATGGGGGAGAAAAAGGAGAGAGTTGTTTAATAAGGTTAAAATTCGACCTTTTTAAAAAGTGTGTGTGTGTGGGGGGGGGGGGGAATTGATCTGTTAAAAAGAAAGGTTAAAGTCTGATAATAAAAGTCTCAAAATAAAGAGAATAAAAAATCCAGATATTAACCTTTTTCTTGCCAGTTTGTTTATCTGCCTGTGCTAGGGCCTGGGCCAGAGCATCTCCAAGACTAGCTCCTAGGCTAGCAGCAGGAGGAGGTGGCACATAGCCTGCAAATATACCGTTAACGGGACTATCAGAGTAATTTCAAATCTGGTAACTGCACTTCAAAGCTTTGTCTGATCCAGTAGAAATTATTAATCAATGTTGTTGTTTCTTTAAAGGGAGTGATCGGCAATGTGTGGTATTTGTCGGTCAATCCCTTTACGCTGTTCTTGACATTTGCTGATTCTCCATCTAAGTTAGTTCAAGCTTTTATAAGAAGCAATTAAGATTTAACATTTTTTGAGTCAGAAAAACGAAGATTTCTTCCACATTTTTTATCAGATTAAGTTTTCAAGGATACCATATTGCCATCTTTGACGTGATCACTTGAAATTACGCTTACAGTCCCATTAAATGGAATGTTAGACTGTTCGTGGTTCTATAAACGGTACAGTGTGTACACTGTACAGGGTTACTTATTGAATTATTGAGAAGAAACCAGGGAGTAAGGAATAGAAGGAAGATACAACTGACGCGGACCGCCCTACCATATGATTATTCATGCTTTGCGGACAGTACTCCATTTGTATAAGAAATATTAGTTAGATGTACAACCGCGTAAACAATAACCTATTCTGAATATTTCTTGTACAAAATGAGTACCCGCCTGCAAAGCATGAATAATCATATGGTAGGGAGGGCCGCGTCAGTTGTATCTCCCTTTTATTTCTTACTCCTTGGAGGCAACAAATGTGTGTACGTAATATGAATGCACTTCATAGGGTACGTTTAACCAAGCCTCTCAAGCTTTAACAGGGTTACCCACAAAGGATGAGAATTCAGAGACAACTGTACGATTGTTTCCAGGTATTTATGAATCTCTGCTTGTAAATTTGTTTCTTTCTTTGCCAAATAAGCCATAAAAAATAATATCTTTAACAGATTTTAACCATATTTAGAGAGTTTCAGGTTGTCATAACACTTACAGTATTATTGATTGATTGATTGATTGATTGATTGATTAATTGATTACCTTCGATTTCAGGTTCACTATCAGAGCAGGCGTGACGACGTCGAACAGCAAGCAAAGGACCTCTGAAACATATGTTACATTATTATCAGTGTCAATTTTATGAATTTTTCAGTCATTTTCTTGAATTTACAGCATAATTTTAAGTGACACTTCCTGCACAGATGGCTATGCCCGATTCCAACTGGTTCCCTTGAAAATTTGAACTCATCAATGATAAAGAAGGTATTGTCGTGTGCCTGCGTTTTAAAGTGTTAAATTCTGATAATTCCTTGACATCAGTGAACTGTTTTTATAAATAAATAAAAAAAAATAAAAAACTGTCTTTAACTCACCCTAACTGGACCATGTTGTTAACTGGAACAGCGGTAGTACGTGCTCTTGGAGCCCCGCCCCCTCCTCCACTCTTTGTTATCCTGGCAAAGTTCAATCCTGCATTGCTTTGTCCTCCGACAGCCTCTGATCCCATAAGGTCGAAGCCGGAGGCTTGAGAGTCCAGGCTACTGGCCAGCTGAGGACTAGGGCTTAAGAACTCGAGGTCATCTCCCATCCTTCAGAGAAGTTCATTAAATTAAAGTTTTCAGGTCTGTTTTAAAGAGACTGTATGTGAAATTTCAAGGGACTCCCTATTCAAAGACAGCAATGCCTGATTCACATAAGTAAAGTTCCCTTATAAGCGTTGTCTGATCAAGTATGATTTATGTATCAATGTTTATATTAAAAACAGACTATTTTCTATACGAAAGTAACTTGCGCATTTCTACTCAAGTCAAATTACACAGGAATAAACAAATTAAAACATTTTCAAAAAACCCAACAATTTCTTGCACATTAACGACCAAATGAAGGGTTCATGGGTACCGTTGTGAATCCTGCATTACCATCTTTAAATGGAGGATCACCTTTAATAACTCTTACAGCAACAAAAGAACTTTTGACAGGCCGTGAATTACTCAGGAATTCGTTCATTTTTATATCCTGAGGTTTTTTTTATATACGACTTACAAGAAAGATAAGCGTTTAAACTATACCATTGATCTGGGCTTTTCTTTGACTGTTAGGGCATTTATCAAAATAAAAGCAGGATTAAACTGAATCCAACAGATTAAGGTTCGCCATTAGTTGGTTGAAAAAGTTTACAAAAGAGTTTCTTGTGGATTTTCACACGCTTACATTGCTTTAAACAGTGCTTAGGATCCGGATCCGTTGGATCCGCAAGATTTTGGCTTCCTGGATCCGGATCCGGATCCAAGGGGTAAAATAATAACCAAAAACGACAAAAAAAAACTTTTATACTCAAAAAACCCAACTCTGAACTTTTGAAAAAAAGAGATTGTAAAAATTTCCTCATTTCTGAATGGTTCATCAAGTTTTAAGATAAAAATAAGCAAAAAAAAAAATCAAACAAAAAATTTATAAATTATTTTTTATTAAAAAAAATCAGTAAATCTTAAAGAAATGGCCTGGATCCGGATCCATTTTTTTCTCGTGCAGATCCAGGTGTCGGATCCGCATTAAATTAAATGGATCCTTATCACTGCTTACATAATATGAGAATACATATAATCCCCCATTTCTGACTACAATGACCAAATAATTTCGAGCCACAACAGCTTTTATTGGGAATAATTGATTAACTTGAAATAAAATGTAAATTAAGTCTTATTTTCAATAATAATATCGCGAAAAATGCCATTTTTGTTTGATTTAAACCCCAGTGCATGGGATCCATTTCATTTAATGCAGATGCGGATCCTGGATCCTGGATCCGCATTGGAATGGAAATAAATGGATCCAGATCATGAACATTTTTTTCGATATTTACTGAAACTTTGACAAGTATTAATTTTCTATTTTTGTATTTTTTTTTATGCTAAAACTATGAACTATTTAGAAATGAGGAAATTTTTTGTGATAATCTCCATTTTTTCAGCAATTTCTTAATTAATTTTAAAAAACCATACTTGGGATAATGATAGGCAGAATCAATCCTGGCCATAGGTGATGGATATCTTCCCATTATTCTGTTCTCTTCTAGCCTAATCAACCAATATTATTTTACTAAATAAAGACAGAATTGGTGAGGTCCCTGAACGACATACCGCCGGTTCAACTATCTCTCTTGAGTCTTGATTCATCGATTGAAAGTTCAATTAAAAGATACGCGGTTGAACCGTCTCTATGTTGTAAAATGACTTATCATAATTCATTGAATCCGGATTAACAAATCTGTTCGTGCATCAGAATCAGATAAAAAATCCGAAAAATAACCGCTTCGGTTTTAGTAATTCGGCCCCGATCTTAAGTGCAATTCACAAATCATTAAAAATAATAGTTGCTTCTACGATGTGACCCTGAAACAAAGGTATAGAACAAGGATTTTTTAATAAGTCAATAAACATGAAGTGTATTCAGACCTATTTCACAAGTTGATATTTAGGCTTTTGGCTAAACTGTTTGCTTTATATAAACCTTAAAACCCACAAGATTGCTTCAATGTCGTCTTCTTAGTAACAGTTTTATGGCTCACAGTGTAATTCAATGGAGAAAAAAAACATTTCGATTTAAAAACGTTGGAGAGAAATGAAAACAGAAAACTGTTTGTCGGCGATTATATCAAAACAGTGAAGACCACTTAACTATTTAAATTGTGATTTCCAAAAAGTTTTGTTTGTTTATTATATTGCAAGTTGACAAGAAAACAGCGAGAAGATGTTAATTGACAGTTTCTCTTTGTTTCCATGTTTATGTGTATCCAGTATCCAATATCCATGCTGTTGAAAAACTCGGTAGAAAATTAAAATATTAAGTAGTCTTTATTGTAATGTATTAATATATATACGACGACGAATGTGCGAAAAATGAAGTGGATTTCTACGAAAAAGAAAAATCGATCCTAAATTTTAAGTAATATTGTTTTCCTGATTCGTTTCTCCCGAACCTTCTCTGCCTTTAGTTTCCTTTGCCTTTTCCTCTTCCTAGACTCCAGCTGGTCCTAGAATATAGGGATACTAGATTAATATTTAATATAGGGATCAAAGATGAATATAGGGATCACAGATTAATACATGGATCACAGATTGATATAGGGATCACAGATCAATACAGGGATCACAGATAAATATAGGGATCACAGATTAATACACAGATCATAGATAAATAAAGAAATTACAGAATAATATAGGGATCACAGATTAATACAGGGATCACAGATAATATATGGGATCACAGATAAATATAGGGATCACAAATGAATACTTAAATCAAAGCTCAATATAGGGATCACAGATCAATACAGGAATCACAGATCAATACAGGAATAACAGATCACTAAAGAAATCACAGCTCAATACAGGGATCACAGCTCAATACAGGGATCACAGATCAATACAGGGATCATAAATCATTAGAGGGATACTGATCAATTTAATAAAAAAAATGAAGAACATAAATTAAGAGTAGAGGGATCAAGGAATTGAGGATATGAACAACGGGTCTTAGAAATGGGTTGAAGACATTCAGGATCATAAACAAAGGGTTGAACAATTAAGAACAACAATAACAACCAAAACACAAAGAGCATTAACAAGAACTAACCTTGAATATCTGAAGAGTATTCTTGCTGACAAGATTAGATAGATCTAGTTCTGCAAGATCAAATATAACAAGAGCAAGAACTAACCTTGAATATCTGAAGAGTGTTCTTGCTGACAAGATTAGATAGATCTAGTTCTGCAACATCAAATGTACTCGAAACTGGGAGATGACGCAAATATCTCAACCTACAGTACATTAAACTGACATTCTTTAAAAAAAAAGGGTCACGAATGTATTCTATTTTTTAAGAAAAAAAAGCTGAAAACATCGAAACTTCCAATATTTATTTAAAATAAAAAGTCTTATACATTTTAATATTTAGTCCCCAATTATCCTTAAAAACTGAGACAACTTACCTCAAAATTTAATATATTTTTGCAACCTATAAGGTTTTAACCTTCAGTATTTTTACTATATCCATCAAAATTCACAATGTATAAGTTTAAAGATGTAACACATCAATTTTTACGGATATAATATTTTGAATTTGAAGCAAGTTCTCAGTAGGGCTGGGAGTACAATCGTATTTTCACGGGAACCAACGAAACGGGTTAAAAAACGCATCCAGCCCTAGTCATCAGTTATTTGCCCAAGTTTTGGCGTTATTAATAAACATACCTGTCTCGAAGTTCAGATGTCATGCTAGAGGAATCTTTCTCCAGTATACGAGCACTAAATTGATTTGACAAAAATGAAAACTTTTTTCTTTAATGAAAAAAATGGATCCGGATCAAAAATTCATGAAGATTAAAAATTGTTTAGCTAACCTTCATGCTAAAACTTGATAAAGCATTGAAAGATTAAATCTCTCATTTTCTAACTGTTGAAATTTGTGAGCAAATATTTTTTTTTTTGCAGGATTTAGTCGATTTTTCCCCCTTGGATCCGGATCCAGGAAACCGAAATGTTGCTGGACACTGGTTATGAAGGTACCTGATGGTGTGAGGCGAATTCTCAAAGGATCCGTACTCCTGCATCAGCATCTGTATGTTCAGAGCATGCAGGAATATCAGTTGACCGTTAGCATCCTAGCACAGGGATAGATATTATAAAAGATTTTTCATAAATTATATCTATCATTTAGGACTTGTTCACTTTTATGTACATAAAAATGTTACCGTTTGAGGAAAACGCCGTTAGCAGATTATTTGGGAAAACTTGGGCAATTAATATAAAAATTATATTTCAAGGTTAACTTTATTATTCATCATTTCGCTAAGATTTACCTAAAACCTTAAATTTCTTCTTAAAAAGTTTATTTAAAAATTTAATCTTTTAAAGAACTTTATC